TGGAAAACCCACTTGTCAATATAGCAAGAGTAAAAGTTTGAATTTCCTTTTACCAGTGATGGTGGCTGGGGAAGACCAATTTCTAGTGGCGGCCAGTAATTAAGCCCTTGAAGCATTGATACCACCAAACTTGAGCCCATATCTGTTAGACAGTGAGAGACACCTTATTAAAGGCCAGTCACACAAGCCACTCAACTGCTTGCACCGTGGCCCGGCCTGTCTCTCCCCTTGCAGACCTTTCAGCCTGAAACATTAATAGTCACGTTATCAATAGGTCATTCTCCCACCGTTGCCCTTCTGCAGGTTTATGATTGTCTCCAGGAATTTAAAGAAAAGAAACTTGTTCCTGCCACAACTCATGCACAGACGTTATCCTATGAGGTAAGGTGGTTTTTTAATCCACAGAAGAATAGGGCTTTAAACGTGAAGCCATTTTACTTGCACTGTTAATTTAAATGAATTAAGGACCTAATGGGAGAGTTTGACTGATGATTTTGTATTGCATAAGTGTTTCTAATTGAGCTTTAATAGAAGGGAGAAAATTAGCCAGCACTTCAAATTTAAACAAACAAACAAATGGCATTTTAAGCATATGTCCATTTCTCTCTTTATCTCCTAAATCTTAGGCTCAGTTTATCCCATGTAATCCTTGGGTAATGTTGTTATAGAAGTGTTTCCCAAATTTGTATCTCTAGCGGGGTTCTTTGCCTGAACTCTTATACCCACTGCCTTCTCCCCATTGTACTTAAATGCATGTTTAATGGACCCTTCAAACTTAACATGGCCCATGAGCTCCTGATGGTCCCCACACCCAAAGCTACTTCTCTCCTAACCTTTTCCATCTCAGTAATGACACCTTTGTTTTTGTAGTACTCAGGCCAAACTCCTTGGGGTTATCTGTGACTTTCTCTTTCTTTCATACCTCATACCCAATCTGACCACAGATTCTTCAGGGCCAGTTTCAAAATATATCCAGAATCTCATCACCTCCACTCTGCCACATAATAGAAACCTTCATCATCTCGTATACAGATAACTGCAATATAGCCTCCTCCCTGGTCTCCTGCTCTTGCCCTCCACCCCCCATCCCCATAGTCTATTCCAGCATAGTAGTTGAAGAATTCCTCTTGAAAGGGGTGTCAAATCATGTCACTCCTCTGCTTAAAACCTTCCAATGACTCCCTATCTCAGTGTACACATCACAGTTCTTAGATAGTCAAACATAATATAGTTCCCGTTCCCTCTTTGACTTAACACTCACTGCTCTCCCCCTTGCTCACTATGCTCCTGCCAGATTAACCCCTGTGGTGGTTTTATCCAACATGCACCTGCCACAGGCCTTTTGCACTGCTATGCCATATGTCAATAATGCTCTTGCCCATATACTCACATGATTTACTTCCTCATCTCCTTCTGGTCTCCATAGAAATATTACCTTCGCACTAAGGCTTTCTCTGGTCACCCTACCTAAAATTGCAACCCCTCCCTGTCCACCTTCCTGTTTTATTTATCTTTTTAACTCTCATCACCATAAAAAAAAAAAAAAATGGGGATTTTTTTTTTTTTTTGAGAATGGGGATTTTTGTCTGGCACTGTATTTGTATCACTGAAAACAGTACCTAGCACATAGTAGATGTTCAATAGATATTTATCAAATGGATGAAAAAGTGTAATCTATTTTATTATTTATTGCCCAAACTGTATTAAAATAAATATTAAAAAAAAAGACTTTACCCTCCACTCCAGTAATCAATAATTCACATTATTCTCAGTTATTCCCAGGAAAACACACATATGATATTTTATTGTTGTAATTGTAGTGAACGGAGGTAAAGCTTAGTAAACTATTTATTTTCATTTGACTGTATGTAATGAGGCTCAACTGCTGAGAATTTATAGAGCTCTGTAAAGTCTTTAAAGGTCTCATGTCCTATCAGAAAGCAGGTCTACACCTAAACCACGGAAAAGAGATCAGAATTTATTCTGTTTAACATTTTTTATTGCAGTAAACACTAAAATTGGTAATGAAATAGTAAGTCCTAAAATACAAACTACTATTCCCATTTTCCATTTGATGGAACATCCACAGGATTGGGCTCAAATACCTGGGGAACTCAGGTTCCTTAACCTGCCCATAAAGCATTCATGTTAACAAACAGTTTTAGCGCCACTAGAGGGAAATTGCCTTGGTACATATGATATGACAAAATCATGTTAGTTCTTACTCCAAGCCTGTAATATGCCAGGACTGGGGCACTGAAGTTTAGATCTACCCCAAATCTTGAATTCAACTTGCTGTAGTAAAGTTTAATGATGAAGGAAAGATTCTGGGCCCCGACTTTAAAGATGAAAATGAAGATTTCAATAACAGCTTGTCTTAGGTTAATGTGCTATATCTGTTATCCAGCCTGGGTGAGGTTAACTAGGTGATGAAGATTTTAAAAAATTTTACAGTGTACACTTTTTTTTACCAACCAGGTAGTGGGGATATTACGTGAAACTCCTAAATCCCCTGAGACCCAAGAACTGAGACAAATCCTCCAGGCTCCACATTTTAAGGCAAGTGCTTACTAAAATAGATAAGATATGCCCATCTGGTGCATAAGCAAAGTTGGGAAGAAGAAATAAATGTGACAGAAAATGCACTTTCTGAATAGACATTCTATTACTGCACACGGGTGACCAACAGATTGTTCTTAAAGATGTGGGACTCAGATGTGACTGGCTGTGTTGTTAGCCATGGAGCTAAACCTGCCAGAGTTATGAGGAGACATCTGGAACTTTCCATGTGTCTTGTTGCCCCCCTACAAGGCCATTGTCCCTCTAAAGTTCTGGGGGACAATCAGGGTAGTATACTTCCTTGTAAATATTTTAAGTTTTGGATAAAGTGTATGAAGATGTTTGGAAAATATAGTATAAGGATGATAAACTCAATGAGAGGTATATGAATAACATTTGACTAAAAAAACATTTGATTGCAGAATGGAAACCTATCTCATAGCACTTACAGAATTTGAGATCATTTTATCAACAGATGAGAATTTTAAGAGAAGGTCTGCATTTGGAGCAATGGAACTTATGAGTCAAATTTTTAGTTTAGAAGATAACCCTAGAGAATTTTCTCTGAGTTCCAGTGAAGTTCTGTCCTCCAATCTCAGGCTGGGCTATCAAATGACTACTTCCCCACCCAATGAAATAAAAATTGAACAAAATGGGCCATTAGAAGGAACTGTTTGCTCATACCCTAAATCAGGAAGCTACTTTTTCTCATTCTGTTCCTCATAGGCCCTTGGGAGTCACTGACAAACTAAACCAGCAAGATGTTTTGATTACTATCCCCCATTCTGCTTTAATTAGAGAAAATATTACAAAAGTTATTCTGTAGTTCAAGCTTGTAGGAGCACCATGGATTACATGGATTTGCAGGAAATGAGAAGTGACAAAACACATTTTAGCAGAAATGCAAGAATATATTATGTACCACTTAACCTCTCCCTGCCTTGCTTCTTTTAAAACGGGGACAATAAATATAGCTGCCTCACAGAGTTATGGTGAAGACTGAGTTAATCCACATAAAAGGCCAGTGTGTATGTGTTGGTTGTTGTGGTAGTAGTGATGGTGGCGGTGTCTTGGACAGAGTATTGGCTCCCTGTCTTCTAAATGCGTATGTCCTACGTGTGACATTCACTCACCTTGCCTTCTCTGTTCCTAGGCCTTGCTCAGTGCCCATGACACCGTGGCTCAGAAAGATTTTGAGCCCCTTCTCCCCCCATTGCCAGACAACATCCCTGACAGTGAGGAAGCAATGAGGATTGTTTGTTTGGTGAAAAACCAACAGCCCCTGGTAAGGAAATCACTTTATCTTTTCGTTAGAATTATACCATGGTTAATTGTGAACCAAGGGTTAATTATGAACTAAGGGTTGATTGTGAACTCTATTATCCCTAATAGTTATTTAATATAATGTTAAATATTCTTGTCTCTAGTCACAGTATAGTTTGAGGCATTCAGAAAATGTGAGGGGATCCAAGATAATGGCTGAAGCATGTCCTAGCAACTTTTGCCTGTGGCTTTAAACACATGATACATTATCATGTTTTCTCTAGGAAAGATTTTTGCTTAGTGTTTTTCTTTGTTGAAAAATCTGTGAGAAATAAAACTTATTTTATTTTATTATATTTGTTGTTTGGCTCTCTGAGGTACATACATTTCACTAAATTCCAATGTACTTATCTAAGTTTTTTTCTCTTTATTGATGGGAAGCTAAGTGAGGCATTAATTTGATTTTCTAAGAAGTCTCTTTGATTAGGTTGTAATGGTGAGAGCTTTCTTTATCTTTGTAAGGATCTAAATATTCTTTTGTATCTATGTGGTTGGATAGAGACCTTGATAGGCCAAGGTTGAATGAATGGCCTTGTCTTTTTGATGGCATGGTATGGCCTTGGTTGGTATAAATATCCTCTTCTGACCAGACCAGAGGCATATTGAGGGAAGCCACCAGAAAAATGGTCATGTTAGGTAAAAGAGGGATTCCACTGCACTCTTTCTCCAGGGAGCTACCATCAAGCGCCACGAGATGACAGGGGATATCCTGGTGGCCAGAGTCATCCACGGAGGGCTGGCCGAGAGAAGTGGTAAGCTGAGCAGCAGAGTATGGATGTGACCAGAGAAATAGGAAACCATTACTTGTTTAGTCTTCTTTCCAGGGAAACCCAGCTTTCCTAAACAAGGTCAGGGCTTCTGTGTGTTGCATTGGTTACTAGGAAGGATGGAATAAATATTCCAGAAAATCCTGTTTCCCTCCTTCACTGAGGCCCCATATTAATGTTCTCTCAGTTTCCATTCTTGTGGTAACCTACCAAGCTAAGTATTATCAGGCCATTCTGCAGAAGAGGAAACTGAGGCTCAAAGAGATTAAGTAACTAATGTATGCACGGTTTCTTTTCTTTTTTTTTTAATTTTTTTTAAACGTTTTTTTTTTTTAAATTTATTTTTGGGACAGAGAGAGACAGAGCATGAACGGGGGAGGGGCAGAGAGAGAGGGAGACACAGAATCGGAAACAGGCTCCAGGCTCTGAGCCATCAGCGCAGAGCCTGACGCGGGGCTCGAACTCCCGGACCGCGAGATCGTGACCTGGCTGAAGTCGGACGCTTAACCGACTGCGCCACCCAGGCTCCCCTGCACGGTTTTCAATTAGACTCAGGATGCAAGTCCGGGTCTGTCCGCTCTATAGTCCCAATTCTCTCCCTTCACCTGGTCCTTCTGCTTGCAACAAGGCTCTGTTCCACCTTGAAATGCCTGTTGCTTGCCTTTTCTATCAGTGAACTGAATTTCCTTCCTTTCACGGCTGCGTTTCCGTGCCTGCTGCCCCATGTCCTCACTTCCCAGGGCCTTGGAGACGGGATGGGCTTCATACCCCAACATTCTTAGAGCAGTGGCCCCAGGATTTCCTAGTTGTTAAGTCCATTGGCCCTTCCTTTGGCCTCAGTTTTATTTTTACTTTCTAGAACATTTGGTGTCATTGACCGTAACTGTCTTGAAGTGTTCATCACCCGTGGTTTCTGTTCCACAACGTCATCCTGCTTCTCACCTCTCCCTCCGACAACTCCACTGTTTACTTCATACTTCTCAAGGCTTGATCTTAACCCCCATGTTTCTCCACGTTTCCTCTTTTGAAGAATGCCCCTCCCCTTTCCTTTTCATTTATCATTTACTCATGATATCTTCATTTTACAGCATCAGATTAGCAGAAATAGAAATATCACCATCACTTAATACCCAGTAAAGAGGTATAAAATGCGATTCTCTGTGCTTTGGTGGTGGTGTACTCCAGAATAACCAGCCTGTATTATTATTGTTATTATTTCAGAGTAAATGTTTAAATGTTAGAGCATGCTTGGCTTAATGAGTTTGCTAAAAATCTTTGGTACAGCTACCTCTATTTTTTGCCAGTTTCCTTGTATCTTCCTTTGTTTTGTGTTCCTGTTTGCCTAGGGCTGTTATATGCTGGAGACAAACTGGTGGAAGTGAATGGAGTTTCAGTTGAGGGACTGGACCCTGAGCAAGTGATCCATATTCTGGTAAGAGTCTTCTGTTTGCCTTCTCCACGACTCAGTGCAGTGCTGTGGCTGACCTGAGCCTGTCTGGCCCACGGTGTGTGTGCTGAAACATGAGGGGGGTTTGGTCCTTTCTCCAGACCCCCAGACCTTTTCTGTTTCTGCTGGGAGACTTCTCTTGCCAAGCTGCTCTTTTGGCCTCAGTAAGGCTCTGCCAATCCCCCCAGCCCAGGCTCCTTGTTGCCTGAGTTGCTCCTTTGGAAACTGAAGCTGGGGTGGCCAGAGTGAGACTCTGGAGGAGTGTCTGAACCCGAGCAAATTACCTTTGCTCCCCTAACATTTTTATACAGCTGAAATCTATTCACCGTCTTCCTTGAGGTAGCTTTGGGGTAGAAAAGATGTCAGGGGAGGCTACCCTATGGGAGGGGGAGTTCCTTGCCTGTCTTGCCCACCGTCATTGGTGGTTGAAACTGGGGATTTATGACCAGTTTATGGTTTAGGTTTCTTTTAGGTCCCATTTCCACTTTTCAAACCTTTGCCTGAATCACAGTCCAGCTGTCATAGCCATAGTGGTATGCCCCCCCACCTTCCCCATGCACACCCCAAGTGTGGGGGCTGACATGGATTACTATTTATCATAGTGGTTCTCAAACTGAGTTTTGGGGGGAACCCTAAATTTTCATAGATGTACCTCAGGGACTACGTGAGAGGTGGGATTATAGGGAATATACTAAGCACCAGAACATTGTGCAAACCACATGCTATAAGATGCTGCACATGAGCTTTAAGGACTGTCAGTTGCAGACACACATGGCTCCACCTCAGCCATTTTGGTGCCAGCTTCAGAGCCAGGATGGTGGGGTTGTGAAATTTCTGAGGGACATTTGTTCCTCTCTGGATCTCTAATACCTGCCACAGTGCACGTGACAGGAGGATCTTGCCTTCTCCATAAGTCTAATAGGTTCTCTGTCTTCAAAATGTTTGAGGGACCCCCTTCCCACCATGAGCTTAGAGCTTGTCCATCCCCCCAGAAGACTTGGGAGCCCTCTTCTTCCCCATCAGACTGGGCTGCCTGGCACAGGAACAGGTGTTCGGGAAGTAATTACTGACTCAAGTTTGAGGAGGGAAAGTCAGATCAGGACCTCATCTCCTTCCCCAGTGTCTGTGGGAAGAAGACCTTGCTGAATAAGGTCACAAGATGGAGTGTTCCTGGGGGAGGCCAGGCCTCGGAGTGGGGTTTATAGCAGGCCAGGAACTCTGGAGCCCCATAGCAGGGCAGAAGCTGAGCTAAATTTCTTCCTAATTTCCACTTCTGCATGGTGATATTTAGCTATTGAACCCTTGTAAAAGTCCCTGTGGGGGATGTCACCCTTAAAACTGGGCACATTGTGTTATAACTCCATCTGCTAAAATGTCATAACCCAGTGAACTCTGTGATTTGTTATTCTCCCCCCCCCCTTTGACATTTTCTAGGCTATGTCTCGTGGTACAATTATGTTCAAGGTGGTTCCAGTTTCTGCCCCTCCTGTTAATAGCCAGAAGATGGTAAGAATATACTGAGCCTTCATAATCACATATAGAAAATCCTCAAATAACAATAATAGTGACTTAATATTTTGTATCATACTACCCTCCTCTATAATGTGTTGAACATTTGTTCAATACTGTTGCACATTTTGTTTTGAGAGACAGATAGAGAGGGAGAGCACAAGTGAATGAGGGCAGAGATGGATAGAGGGAGAGAGAGAATACCATGGTGGGGGGGGGGGGAGAGAAACAGGGCTCACCTGAAATGGGGCTCGTGTTCACCCGAAGCAGGGCTTGAGCTCACCCCATGCGGAGATCAAACTCATGAAGCGTGAGATCATGACCTGAGCTGAAGTCAGATGATTAATCTACTGAGTGACCCAGGCGCTCTGGACATTTTTCAATATTGATGACATGAGAGGCAAATGAGTAAATGAATACAATAAAAGGAGATGGAGTACAAGAAGTTAAAAAGTAATATCAAGAATGGGAAACACTTGAGCAAAAACTTCTCAGTACTAAGAGATTCTGTTGGCAAAGTCACTTTTTTGGTGGATCTTAGACTCAGTTCAAGAGGCAGGTTCCCCTTTTGGAGAGTATGGGGAGGAAAGATAGTAACAGTAGGTAGAGGAGTAGAGAAATGGTTTTAAGTCTTGACAGCCCATGGGCAAGGGTTCTTTTGATGGGACCATTTTGTACCTACTGTCAGGTATATGTTCGTGCCATGACCGAGTACTGGCCCCAGGAGGATCCTACTATCCCCTGCATGGATGCAGGGTTGCCTTTTCAGAAAGGGGACATCCTGCAGATTGTGGACCAGAACGATGCCCTCTGGTGGCAGGCCCGGAAAATCTCAGACCTTGGTACCTGTGCTGGTCTAATTCCTTCTAACCACCTTCTGAAGAGGTAAGGAAATTCTTACTCCTGGACTCAGGACTGAACTATCAGGACATAAAATGTTTCTCAGGCTTCTGTTATTGTAGTTAAGATTAGGTAAAGAATGACAAGCAGATAGATAAACATATACACTGGTCCAAAAGTCAACTTATCCATATGCCCTAAGCATTTTTAAATACTCAGGAGACCAGAAAAATCGTATCATCTAGAAAAGAGAGAAAAGCACTTGTGAAACTCAAACTTAAAAAGATAGTTCTAACTCCCTCTATTAATCATTCAGGCCTGAATTGAAACGTCAGTTATTGAATCTGAACCCACGCTGTCATCTGTGTGTCCTTGAGATCTGAGGGAATTAGTAAAGATAGAAAATAGAAAAGGGTCCAAGGCCCAGCCAATGTTAGGAAATCGAGAGGAAGAAAAGGAACTAGCAAAAGAGATTGAGGAGTGACCAATGAGGCGGGATGAAAATCAGGACAGTATAGTGTCTGACCAACCACATCAGCTGCTATAGAGAGGACTGAGAACTAACCATTGGATTTAGCAATATGGCAGTCATAAAAGCAATTTGAAGAAATTATGGCATGAGACATTTTAGTACAAAGCAGAGCAGAGCAATGGGAAAGTAGCTGGAGAGGAAAGGGGAGTGGTGTGAAAGAACTTTTTTAGATGAGGTACATAATGCTCGTAGGAACAGTCCAGTGAGAGGGAAAACTTTTATGACAGAGAAAAAGAAAGGAACTGCTGTTGTCAATGTCCTTGAGCAGACAGACGGAGACATGATCTAGTACAGTTGGACAACACAGGGGTTAGAGGTGCTGACCCCCTATGCAGTCAAAATTCTGCATATAACTTCTGACTCCCCCAAACCTAACTACTAATAGCCTACTGTTGGCCAATAATATAAACAGTGGATTAACACATATTTTATGTTATGTGTATTATATACTGTATTCTTATAATGAAGTAAGCTAGAGAAAAGAAAATATTAATAAGAAAATCATAAGGAAAGGAAAAACACATTTGCAGTACTGTACTGTGTTTATTGGAAAAAATCCATGTATAAGAGGGCCTGCTTAAAGGTCAACCATATACAAGTAGAGGCGTTGGCCTTATACAGGATCATAAACAGTAATAGTAACAGCAGAGAATCCAGACTGTGTGGACATAGTTGAGGGTGAGGATATGGCGAGAGCTTGTGGAAGTTCTCTGATTGCTGTAAGCTGAGAGTGAGGGTGGGTAAAGAAATGCTGGGAAAGAGAGAGGAAGAATGATGAAAACATGTACCTCTCCTCATGTCCATGGTTGGGGAAATCCGCCAGCAGGAAAGAAATCAGCAAAAGCTACTCAACACAGCTATTCCCCTTCCCCCAGAGCTTGTTTACCAGCACACAGCTGGCAGTGGAGAGGAAACAAGCCACCTCTTAAAAGATGCAGGGGAGCAGTTCCCTCAGGAGACCTGGGATTTGGTTAGAGCAAGAGGGCGAAGGGCTCACCTACTCACAGTAGGGGCTGAAGTCTGGGAGGCTTTGTTGAAGACTGACTTCAACTTCCATGG